TAACATTCTTGAAGACATTTTTTGAGTTCATTGAACATATGACTATACTTTCAGCGTAAGAAAAATAAAGCAATTAACTTACTCAAAATTCAAAGTTAAACCCTATATTGAAAAAAATGACTATACTGTATGTATTGGGGTATTAGATGGTTACAGTAACTCATGAGATAATCTAGCTTTATTGAGGGGGAATGGTATTAAAGGGGAAGGGGTATTAAGGCGATGTGTGGCGGGTACATCCTACAATCAAATATGTCTAGCAGCGGCCATTTATGATACCTGGGACAATGCCGAACATTTTACAGTAACTTTCATCAGGTTAACTCACTAGATAATCTAGATCAATTTTTTGGGGACAAGGAGTATCATATTTTCTTTTTCATTAATTTTCTTTTTTTGTAAGATACCAGCAAGATAGTCAAAATTGGATTGTACAGTATTTGTTAAATATGTAAAAGATGTAGACATTCCTTATTTTTTGTCATGTATCGACTTATTTTAGTACCGGTAACATGGTCACTTTATATATATTATTCCGTTATATTTAGTGAACAAACACCTATGTATCAGCCGTACTCACTGAAGTGGTACGTTCTACTTACCTAAATACTGAATATTACTCTGCTCCTTCCACTTTACTGTACTAACAAAGAATTCTCACATGTGTTGCTTTTGTAGTGTGACTAGTCCTCGTACAAAATTTTGTAGATTCGTGTTAGTGTAAAATTTTTCTTTACGATATTTTAATGGATATTATGAACTAAAAAAAATGTCTTCAAAAATGTTAAGTCCTATAAAGAATGGTGCTACGATATATTCAACTGTGCGCGATTATGGATGGTAAATCATCACAAACTTTAATCACTACTAATAATTGTACATAACAAATATGCATAGCACCAATTCAAAATTTATCTAAAGCACTACCAAGTGAGCAAATAAGGCAAGTTTAACATTCCTGTAATAAAAAAGTTTCTAGATTTTTCTAAAGCAAATTAGGCAAATTGGCAAACTATATACTTACGACATTTAATTTGAATTTTGTATAATTCAACTTGTAATTAAAATTAAGCCTGAAGTTACTGTAGTATTCCTTACATTAAGATTAACAATTCAAGCTTATAATTAATTTCATATAGTCCGAGTGAGTTTTAACCGAGGCATCTCTTCCTAAAAAGGAAACTTCCTTTATCAAAAGGCTTCTACGAATGGAATAAACCCAGTTCCATTACAAACTTGTACTGGAAATCTACTCGTACTGAATATTGGGCATTCATGAACTTTCAATCCTGTATAGAATCTCATTGTTAAACTGTTGTAATATTAACTACTAAAAATAATAAAAGATGATATAGTATTGTATGGTAAGCCTACATTTTGCAAGTTCAGGGATGTAGTTATGGGGGAGGGAGAGGAGGTGGAGTCACCCAGCCTTGAAGTTTTCCATCCAGTCTAAACCTAATTTCATGGCTCTCCACCCACCCTTATTAACCCCACACTTCTATCCTTAAAATCCACTCATATTATTTAGAGTAAGGGTGGGCATAAAAATCAATTGGAGGGCCAAAGTAAATTTTCGATTTAACACAGAGGGACGAAAACTACCTTTGATGTTTCAAGTGTGCTTCCAAAAACTCGGGTTAACTCACAAGCTGATCTAGGTCAATTTTTTGGGCGGGGTATTTGGGGGTGTCTGGCAGGTATGGTATTTGGGGGTGTCTGGCAGGTATACCCCACCATTAAAAATGTCTGGCGGTGACCATTCCTGATACCTGGTACTATGCCCAACATTTTCCAGTAGGTTTCATCTGGTTAACTCACAAGCTGATCCAGCTTAATTTTGGGGTACCAGTTTTTTGTGTCTGGCACCCACCCCCCACCATTGGAAATGTCTGGCATTGTCCATTCGTGATATCTTGAACTATGCCGAATATATTCTGATAGGTTTCATTGAGTTAATTCACAAGTTGATCCAGCTCAATTTTTGGGGCCCTTTTTATGCCCCTCCTGACCATCCACCACAATGGGACCGGCAGATGCCCATTCTCCTACCTAGACAGGCACACATAGAACATTACTATATACACAAAAATTGGTTAACTTTCTAGCTATGCTGACACCCCTGGGCTCCTGATCTATAATGACGACGGTGGTTTGATTCTGACGTTGATATAAATTATGATGGTATTGTCTAGCGCCCCCACAACCTATTTCACCCATAGAGATAGTTTCACCACCGCCGTTTGTAAGAAACGTGCTTACGCCCTCTGTTCTTTAGTCGTAAACAAGGTTGCGAAGAGAAGTGTTTGGTTTTTGTTCAGGTTGTTTTTTGAAGTTATTTTATTTTCTTTATGTTCGAAGGTAAGAAAAGGTAACTAACAAATTAAAGCGATAAATTGTGATTTACATTATTATAGGCGTTTATTAAGACCTAGGCCTAGGCTAGTGTTTAAACAGATGACCCCGGGCCCAATGACCAGATCGTCGGTAGGCCAAGACAAAATCATTTTAGCCTAGGCTAGGCATATGCATTGGCTGTCTTTTGTATTTGTTGATTGACCAGGCTATAATAATTGAGATAGGTGCCACTTGGAGAGGTAGAAATTCTGATGGTTTTTCTAGACCAGCTTTTTATGGGGAATCAGATTCAGAATATGTGAGATAAAAGGGGTGAGACCTTTTGCGTGAGGGCGCTATTTGAAAATGGCCGCCAAAATCCAATAAACTACATACTGTATAAGAAAGTATAATCAAAGATACTAGAAATACAAGATAGAGTTCTCCACACAAAAAAAGTGTTCCACCGTGTTCCACCGAAATGCATGGTGGGAATACGCAAAATGGGACGCCCCCTACAGCTGGATCTAAAAAAACTTGTGCCAAAATTTTGTTACCAAGTCGTCGCGTATTTTATTATCAATTCTCAACAAAGATACTAGATATAAAAACAAACTGGAATAGACACCCAGACAGTGACATCAGTGAATACATAACCTCCTTGGTGGCGGTAGAAATCGTTGCTATTATCCAAATAATACACAAAACAATTAAAGCATAATCA